TCCTATCTGGAGGCACATGATGTTGGTTTGTCCCAGTTGTTGGTGATGTTAACTTTGATCGCTAGATTAATATGGTGTTTATCAGGTGTTTCACTGTACAGTTACTCTTTTAAAGATTTTGTTTATTTATTTGTCAGAGAGAGAGCACACAAGCAGGGGGAGCAGGCAGAGAGAGAGGCGGGCTCTCCACTGAGCAAGGAGCCCAATGCGGGAGTTGACCCCAGGACCCTGGGACCATGACCTGAGCTGCTGAAGGCAGACACTTAACCGACTGAGCCACCCAGGCGTCGCTGTACAGTTACTCTTTTATTACATGTTTTGTGGGGAGGTACTGTGCGACTATGTCATTATCCCATTCCATAGCAAACTTTTATTATTTACCAATTTATTTATATTAGTATGGACTCAGGGTTTCTATTTTATTTAGTGGGTATAATTTTTTACTATTTTTTACCATCATTTATTTTGATACTCGCATTGTCCCATATTTGGCCAGTGAGATCCCCGTCATTCAGGCTTCTGCATCTTTTTGACATTCCCTTCACTCTTTGAGCGCTTCCTTGATTTTTGATCTATGTCTCACTTTCTTTGTTTTGACATTTCAGGTCATTTATATTACTTTGAGTCTTGATTATGCCACTTATAATATCAGCTATTCCTCCTAGATGATAAGCATTTCTTCTGTTTCTTTGTTCAAGTCATGGATAATAATGGATGATAATGGATATGGGTATATAATGGATTATAATAATAAGTGGATAATAATGACCAGTGTGTTGAAGCCGAGGAAAGAGCCCTGTTGTACTGTTCCAGAGACTACTTCCCAGATCAGCAGTCTTCAACCAATTAATCAATATACTATTTTGTAGTGTATTTTGAAGACTTATTGATCATCAAGCTAGTTGCTGCTGCCAAGTCAGAGTCACTATCAAGCCAAAGATTCTTCCCTGGATTCCAACCATCTCCTTCCTGAAAGAAAATAATTTCTTAGCATTCAGTGCTGTTCTCCATGACTGAAAGCACTGTCTCCATCCCCACCTGATCCCAGGGTTCAGAGAACTCATACTTTATTTTTTTATTTTTATTTTTTTAGAAATTTTATTTATTTATTTGACAGAGAGAGATATAGCGAGAGAGGGAACACAAGCAGGGGGAGTGGGAGAGGGAGAAGCAGGCTTCCTGCAGAGCAGGAAGCCCGATGCAGGGCTCGATCCCAGGACCTGGGATCACGACCTGAGCTGAAGGCAGACACTTAATGCCTGAGCCACCCAGGCGCCCCGAGAACTCATACTTTAAAGTCACTCCCATTGCAAGAAGGATCTTGACTTAGAGCTCACTTAAGGATATCAAAGCTTTGGGTACCAGGAGGTGGTAGACAAAACAAACAACAACTTAGTCCCTGGCACACATTTTACACTCAGTATACTGCTTAACTGAGCAAATGAATAAATACTGAAGATTAATGCAAATAAATTCATCCAAACTTGAAATGGGTCTAGCTGTCCAATAATCTCTGAGTGTTCATGGAAAAGCCTCTAATGCCAAAAATCTGGATTCCAGATTTTTTTTTCAAGACTTACAGCTGTGAAACTTGACAAACCACTGAATTACTCTGAGTTTCAGTGTTTTTTGTTTTTGTTGTTATTAGATGAAAATAATAAATGGAACACTCCTGCCTCGTCCACAGACTTGTATAAGCCAGAGAAATCATGTAAATGAAAATTATCTGTATGCCTTAATTTGTATTAATGTGTAACATCATTCTTATGGTGAATATACAATGTTACCATAGAGTTATTTTTTCATTATTTTATAAGAAAATGAGCAGATTAAAAAGAAAATGAGCAGATTTTTGAAATGCCCATCATTTTCCTAAACTGTTTACCTAATACTGACATTTTTTTAAAAAGAAAATGAAGCTTAAAAATTTTTTTAAATTAACTAAATAAAATAACACAGAGAAGAAAAGAAAATGAAGCTAACTTAGCTTTTTGAAATACTCACGAATCATCTACTTAAAAATTGTTCTCAGATTTTTCTGGGATCAATATAAACCTCACTATTTGATTTACAAAAATCCTTCCTTTCTTTAATTAGAAAGTTAGAACAGATTTGCTTCTCAAAACTGATGGCATTTTTCCCCTGCTCTTTGATTTTTCAAAAAGTACTGATTTTATTTTTTTTTAAGATTTTATTTATTTATTTGTCAGAGAGAGAGGGAGGGGGAACACAAGCAGGGGGAGTGGGAGAGGGAGAAGCAGGCTTCCCGCTGAGCAAGGAGCCTGATGTGGGGCTTGATCCCAGGACCCCCGGATCACAACCCGAGCCAAAGGCAGATGCTCAACCGACTGAGCCAACCAGGCATCCAAGAAGTACTGATTTTAACTCTTGAATAGAGAGAGCATCAGATTTAACTCCTGTCATTCAGGAATCATTTCCCAGCTTGGTGGGCAGGCTGGAGGAGTTGGGGGTCATCTCTATATCTCTATTCTATCTATAAAATTAACGTAAAAGCATCCTACTTCTTACTGTTGTAGTGAGGACTAAATGTAATAATGCATGTGAAAGAAGGCCTATAAATAATAAAACTTTGTACAAATACGTAAGTAACATATGACTCAGAACTTGGAAGTAATAATAGCAAAACCTGTCATCTATTGATGTAGTCTCCTTATCAGATTCTATGCTCTCTTTCAATGCTACAACGACCCAATATGTATTATTATCCCTGTTTTACAGATGAGGAAACTGAGGATCAGAGGGGTTAAGTACTGCCCAAAGTCACACAGCTAATAAGCAGTGGAGCAAATTCAATCTCAGGTCTGTCTGACCCCCAAACTCTACCCTTAACCCATGCCACAAATTCTACCCCAAACGTCACCAATTTGGCCCCAAAGTCTTGAATCCCTTTAATAAGAGTCTGTCCTGAGAAGATCGCTTGTATTCATGAGCTGCTGCCCAACCTTTATGTTGTTGGTTCTAAATTTTCCAATATGAAAACTGTTTTAGGTTGTGGGGAAAACAGGAACTATACAGTTAATAGTTCTGATGATGTCTCTTACTCTGCTGACACTGTATCCTCTCCTGAAAGAAGCAGACCTCTTCTTTCCTACTCTTTTTGTGAGCATTTTCTGTATTTCATGCTTTTCAAAAGGCTCAATTACTTTTGCTTTTAGGACTAGCTGAGAAAATGCCCAGTTTGATTAGAAAGACTTGAATTGGTTAGCCATTCAATGAGTTGAATAGATACTCTGGCCAAGTACATTTTCTGCATAGAATAATTTAGTTAATAATTCATTAAAATTCTTACCCATGCAGATTTTCCATTTTTAAATTTACTCAATGCTTACATTGATAGGTGTTACCAATTTGTCATGTACTCATACAAAATCGATGGTTTCACAAGTAAATGTTTTGGATCCTGAACTGGATCATCAGAAATTATCAAGGATAGTAACAATACTTTATGAATTGGGTGCTAAATAATGCTTATGAAATGCTTATTTCTTTGAGAGTTTATTACATTTTAAATTACCACAATCGTGATAATTGTGAAACTTTGACAGCTTAATGATCAGCAGAGTAGACAGGGCCCCATGTTGAATGCTGCTTTGCATTAGTGACCGAATTTCCCTATGGATCCTACAAAACCATCAATGTTACTACAACTGATGCTTCAAAAGAATTCACAGTTACACTATACTATCATTTGAAAATTTAAATAAATTGCAGTATTCACCCAAGGTATGTATGACATGTTGGCCTTGCAGGTTAAATTAATTTAAAAAATTTTTTATTTTGATCTCAATATTACTCTTTGTAACTTGATTCCAAGAATATTTTCATATCTACCTTCTGCAACCTTCATTTTCTCAGAATTTCTGTATTTTCTATTTTAAAAGTCCTTTTGAACTTATGTAATAACTATGGAATCAATTGCTTTTAAATGTCATGAACCTAATAAACACATCTTGACCCAAATGAAAATTCATACACTTATGTGATGATAACCATTCTCTGAGGAAAAGTCCTTGGCAATATATCCTTGGGAAAAGAACAATGCTGGAAATTAACATTCACTTAATTTTAATGTATAATGTTTGCCTTGTTTTCTTAGACTATAAGTGAATGTAATTTTTTTTTTAAATGGAGACACTGGAAAAAATATGAAAGGACTTGTTTCCTGCTGTTTTTGGGAAAATGTAATCCTTCCTTAGCATTAGCTAAAACCCTTACTCTAAAATTGTTTTCCCAAAATAGTGTATTGGGAGCCAGAAAAATTCCCTTTCTCTTTACAGAGATCTAACAGGTTGGGAACTAATTATAAAGTATTTTTTGACAATCAAACAGCAGACTTTTATATAACTTTTGCTTGTATTTTTAGTGCTTCAGAATTAGCTTGAAATAGATCTCAGGAAATGATTCGGAAGCTAATGTGAGGTCCCTAGACTAAAAACTAATAATAATACTACTCTAACATTTGTATCCTTTTCCTCATCACATTAGTTTTCTATGTCATATAATTAATTAAGAGATTAAAGTTTATTCAGATTAATTCCATTAAAAGAACTTTAAAAACACTTGAGATACGGGTGCCTGGGTGGCTCAGTCGGTTAAGCATCCAACTCTTGATTTCGGCTCAGGTCATGATCAGGGTCAGGAGATGGAGCCCTGTATAGGGCTCTGAGCTCCATGCTCAAGATTCTCTCTCCTTCTGCCCCTCCCGCATCCCACTCGCACTCTCTCTCAAAAAAACAACAAAAGTACTTTGAGGTAAGGGGTAAAATCTTAGTTTCAAAAGTACTAATTTAGAGTCAACTGTATTTCAAATGTTAAATATGAAGCTAATTAGGATAAGACTTCTGAGTCAACAGTAGAAATGCTGAATTGGTCCTATTTCATTTGGGGTAAAGTTTCTCTGCACAGAACCATTGTTTAATTTAAGAATCATTGTAATACCTCTTTTATCCTGCACTGACCACATTTTTACTCTCGTCAAGGTATCAGATACACACCGGACTTCAGCATTCTATCATAAGACCTACCCAACCCAACTGCTTACCTCTGGACAATGCAACCCTACCTCAGAAGCTGAAGGAGGTTGGCTATTCAACACATATGGTTGGAAAATGGCACTTGGGTTTTTATAGAAAAGAATGTATGCCCACCAAGAGAGGATTTGATACCTTTTTTGGTTCCCTCTTGGGAAGTGGTGATTACTATACGCACTACAAATGTGACAGTCCTGGGATGTGTGGCTATGACTTGTATGAAAATGACAACGCTGCCTGGGACTATGACAATGGCATCTACTCCACACAGATGTACACTCAAAGAGTTCAGCAAATCTTAGCTTCTCGTGACCCCAGAAAGCCTATATTTCTATATATTGCCTACCAAGCTGTTCACTCACCGCTGCAAGCCCCCGGCAGGTATTTTGAACACTACAGATCCATTATCAACATAAATAGGCGGAGGTATGCTGCCATGCTTTCCTGCTTAGATGAAGCAATCAACAATGTGACCCTGGCCCTGAAGACTTACGGTTTCTATAACAACAGCATTATCATATACTCTTCAGATAATGGCGGCCAGCCCACAGCAGGAGGAAGTAACTGGCCTCTCAGAGGCAGCAAAGGAACATACTGGGAAGGGGGCATTCGGGCTATCGGCTTTGTGCATAGCCCGCTTCTGAAAAGCAAGGGAACCGTGTGTAAGGAGCTTGTGCACATCACCGACTGGTACCCCACTCTGATTTCACTGGCTGAAGGACAGATTGATGAGGACATTCAGCTGGATGGCTACGATGTCTGGGAAACCATAAGTGAGGGCCTTCGTTCGCCCCGGGTGGATATTTTGCACAACATTGACCCCATTTATACCAAGGCAAAAAATGGCTCCTGGGCAGCAGGCTACGGGATTTGGAACACCGCCATCCAGTCAGCCATCAGGGTGCAGCACTGGAAACTGCTTACAGGAAACCCTGGCTACAGTGACTGGGTTCCCCCTCAGTCTTTCAGCAACCTGGGGCCCAACCGATGGCACAACGAACGAATCACCTTGTCGACCAGCAAAAGCATATGGCTGTTCAACATCACAGCCGACCCCTATGAGAGAGTGGACCTGTCTCACAGGTATCCTGGAATCGTGAAGCAGCTGCTACGGAGGCTCTCGCAGTTCAACAAAACCGCAGTGCCTGTCAGGTACCCCCCCAAAGACCCCAGGAGTAACCCTCGGCTCAATGGGGGAGTCTGGGGACCATGGTATAAAGAGGAATACAAGAAAAAGAAGCCAAGCAAAAATAAGGCTGAGAAAAAGCAGAAGAAAAGTAAGACCAAGAAGAAACAGCAGAAAGCAGGCTCATTTTCAAATTGCCGTTCCGATGTTTGCCATCACCGTGGATAAGTACACGTTTTTTCCTGGCTGGTTGAACCTAAGTCAGTCTTAGTCTTTTAGCTGTTTTCTAGGTAAACCAGCAAATCTGGCTCGATAATACCACGGCCGTAAGCACCAGACTTACTTTCGTGTGTCGGCCACGGGGAAAACAGGGCTATTCAGTCCCAAAGGTGCTACCCTTGCGAGCCACACTTGGAGGAGAATGGAGATGCTTATTTCTTTTGCTCCTTTGTGAAAGTGCTCGTTAAGGAGTTCAGCTGTTGTGTTTCGGTCAACGGACCAAACACTTGCTTTAAACTGCAAGCCATGAATATGTTCATTTGATGCAAGTTACAGGGTAGCATGATGAAAACTACCTTTGATCAAGTACAAAGGTTGCCTCACCTCAAAAGGCCTTGAAAAATATTTTTTCTTAGTGAATTATTGTATCTCCATCTTATGATACTTGGTTTTTTAAATTAATTCCATTTCACGTATCATTTCCCTTCGTGTGAAAATAAGCTGTTTCCTCCTGTGTAAACAGCTTGCACCTCATTTTATCACGCATGAGGGAATGGCAAATGAGAATGTTTGAGCACACTGCCAAAACGTGAATGTAACTATTTTCTAAACGCTTTAACAGAATGACATTTCAACGTAAAGTACATAATTTATTTTACAGAAAAAATATTATTTTGTTTTCATAAAAAGTTATACAAATGACTTTTATTTTTATTTTCTATATACTGTTAGAAGTTTATTTCATATCTTCAAGATTACCAAGCACTGTAATACTATAAATTACTGTAGTACTGTGTGAATTCATAGAATATAAAAAGAAAATTAGTCAGAAAAAATGATAATCATCATTGTTCAACCATTATTTTGAATGTAAAAAGATGAATATATTCCTTACAAATTACTTGGAAATTCAGTGTTGTATGGGGTTGAGAGACAACTTTATTGTTTCTGTCATAAACACTTTATTTATGTGTCTTTATTATTAAAATGACTTATTTCACAGCACTAGCAAATTTAGTGTGGTTTTCCTGATCTAGTTTCTAGATAAAATTATATTATTCATCTTAACAACAAAAATCTTTACAAATAGGCAATTTTCTAACAACCATATTATTTATGTATAAAAATATAAAAATATATAAAACATATATGTATTTTAAATATATAAATATGTAAAATATATTTATATATTATTTATAATATGGATTTTGCAAATAAGAGGGGTTTCCACTTGGCTATTTCATAGAGAAAAATGTTATTTTGTTAATCTATAACATTTATAATGATCCTACTCTTACACAAAGTAGATACGGTGGGGATGTGATTTTAAGTTCTCTATTAATGGCCATAACTTTTTCAATGGAAATAAATTAGCCCACAGGCTTCTATCTGGAAATGGCTTCACAGATGTTCGCTCTTTGTAAGAATACCTGCCACCTGCACATGGTGCTAGGTAGACTGTGATTTAAGAGAAGTCTGTCTTGCAGGGCGCCTGGGTGGCTCAGTTGGTTAGGTCATGCTCCTGGGCTCCCTGCTCAACAGGGAGTCTGCTTCTGCCCCTCCCCCTGCTCATGTGCTGGGCTTACTCTCTCTCTCTCTCTCAAATAAATAAAATCTTTTTTTTTTTAAAGTCTGTCTTGCCCTTAAAAAACTAAAGTCTAACATAATAGTCACCTATAAATAATGAATAAAAATATTTTCAAAATGCTGTCAGCAAACCTCTAGGTCTTTCAAGACATCCAGGAAGGAAAATCCTCTACAGTTGACTTTCATGCCCTAATCATTAAAACTGTGTTAATACTGGACATTTAGTCTCAGGCATCATTCTCCTAAACTATGATTCTCAGGCTGCATTTCTAGAGCTGTCCGTGGCTCTTTCAAGTGTAAACTGCAGCTCTTTAAAACCTCTGATCCTTTTACCAGGAGACCAAAAGAAAGTCCTGGACTGAAAAATAAGTTTCCCACTAGTTTTGTCAGAAAACAGCTTGTGGATATGGCCATGCATCTTGGATGAGAAAGGATATAAAACAGTTAATGCGAACAAAAAAGCAACAAACCCTTATGGTCCCTTTCCAGTGAAAACATCCACCCCAGGTCTGTCAAGTCTACTAAAGGAGTTGTTTCATCTATATGCACATACTCTTACTTCACTTTTCAAAAAATTGAGTGAATGTTACAGTTTTCTTGACCAGGCCCTTTTTGAAAATCTGAAGGACAGAGAAAACACTGGGCCACTGACAGCTGAATAAGTATACGGTAAATACACTTTAACATTTGCTATTCCACGGTCCATGAATTTGGCATCAGGATTAGCTTCTTAAGCATTTTATTCACAGGATTCTTGAGCACCCAAATTGTGAATTTGTCAGCAGCCATCAGAAGAGGTGTTGGCAGAAAGATATACATTCATTCAACAAATATTTATTAAATTCTACTATCTGTCAGGTAAAATTCTAGGGGCTTGGGATGTATCAATGAACAAAATGAATAAAAATTCTTACCTTTGTGCAGGTTATGCTCTTGCCAAGTTAGGCAGACAATAAATAATGAACATAACTAATAAGCAAATTATATACATAGTCTCCCGCCTTAGCCACAATTTTGCTTTCCGCGGTTTCAGTTACTCTAAGTCCACTGTAGTCCGGAAGTAGGTGATCCTCCTTCTTCTGTATCGTCAGGTCACTTGTAGCCATCCCAATGCCTATGTCATTCACCTCGCTTCATTTCATCACTCTGGGACTTTTTTCATCTCACATCATCACAAGAAGGCTGAGTTCAGTACAATAAGATATTTGAGAGAGAGAGAGAGAGCACATTCATGCAACTTTTATTCCAGCATGTTGTTATAATTGTTATTTTTTATTAGTTATTGCTGTTAATCTCTTACTGTGCTTAATTTATAAATTAAGCTTTATCATAGGTATGTAGGTATAGGAAAAAATATAGTTCTATATATAGGGTTAGACATTATCTGCAGTTTCAGGCATCTCCTGGAGGTCTTGGGACTGCTGTATATAAGTAATATATAAAGTAATATGAAAAGGAAAAGGGGAGGATTCATTCAACGCCAAGTTTATCCACCCATTTATTCAACATTTGTGAAGTGCCACATGTAATGGTATCTGCTAGGGTCTGGTGACAAGTATCATCAGACAGAGTTCCTGCCTTCAGGTCGTGTACATTCTCCTGGGAAACATACACAAATCAAATAGACATCCTCATCTCCCCCACACTTCTTCCCTAATTGATCTCTCTCTGTAGCACTTCTCACCCTTTAATATAGTTCATATTTTACTTACATATTTTCTTTATTCTCTGACTCTTCCCTCTAGAGTATAAGCTTCTTAAAAGTGGTTTATGTCTGGGGAGCCTGGGTGGCACGATCGGTTGAGTGCCTGCCTTCAGCTCAGGTCATGATCTCAGGGTCCTAGCATCAAGCCCTGCGTCGGACTTCCAGCTCAGCGGGGAGCCTGCTTTTCTCTCTCTCCCTCTGCCTCCCCACCAGCTTGTGCTCTCTCACTCACTCTCTCTCAAATAAATAAATAAATAAAATCTTTAAAAAAAAAAAAGTGGTTTATGTCTGTTTACATCTGTATCATCAGTATATAAAGCAATACCTGGCTCATAGTCAGCATTCAATATATATTTCTTGAATGAATAAATAAAATAATCACGTATGTCCATATGTTCAGCTATATTTGCTTGAGTTTCCGTTTTCCATTTTTTTTTTGTTTGCTTTCCATTTCTTATATAGGGATTTCACTGTTGAGAATAGAACTAATCATCCCTAATACTTTCCTCATAATAATAGCAATAATGTGAAATGCAGACATTTCTAGCACTATAAAAAAGTAACTCTAATAATGTATAGTTATAAAAACAGAGTGTTACAGCAAAAGCCAAGCAAAAGTCACACAAAATTGAGAGCCAATTTTGTCTATATAATCTTTATTACCTAACAGGGCAGAACACTATTATTCTAACACTACTTTGAATATCACAGAATACATTAGCTAAAATGAGAGTTTCCAGAAAGGAGAGGTGGGGGCTTAAATTGTGAATATTTTTTTTGTAGCAAGTGGTGAAAGGAAAAAAAACATAAATAGCAAATAAACCTCTATGTCTTCATAGAATTATGAAGACACATGGACTATAGCTCCTATCCTTGGGTGTTCTATTGTAAACTTCTCCAATTTGGCAGAGCAGGAATTCTTCTTTGAAGATAGGTTTTTCTTAAGCTGGGTTGTAGCATCTCCATGAAGTCTGTTGATTTATAGGCTAGCTATGACATTATTAAACCCAGGACAACAAAATGTCCTTGTGAGTTGGGCAGACAAACACATTACCTAACCTTCCATTTCATATCTATGACTTGAAGTTTCCTTTCTCTCAAATTTTTCTACGATCTTATATTCTTGGTCAATTGGTTTATGCAATTTTGTGTAAAATTAATCCCAACAACCGCAAAGGAGCAAGAAAATAACATAGGCTCATGAGAAATGTCTACATAGTCACTCTTTGCAGAAATTCTCTAGCTGAAAATTTTAAGTGAGGAACATCTTATGAATCAAAGAAAAGTGAAATTTGTCTTTCAGAATAAAAATCCAAAAACAATTTTCAAGAGGACATATTAATCTCTCTGGAAACAATAAAGAATTAATGTTCCTTCAACCTTGAGAGCTGTGAATGACTGGTGGATACTTTCAACTGAACTTCTAAATCCTAAACAACTATGAGAAAAAAAATTTTTATAACTAAAGTTAACAGACACAAAACCTTGATTTGAGGTAGCATCTGAAACTGTATTTTCTCACCTCACCATCACTAGAACTTCCAGAGGCTCTTTTTCAGCAAAAAAATTATGGCATAATTCATCAGTCATGGAGATGCATTCTAATACATGTGCCACTAACATTTCTCTATTTGTAGCTTTTTGTGATTGGAGTATCAATCCCCTCCCTACCTGGGAGGTAGGGAATTACAAGCATGTAGCATCCACATTACTTTCTACTATGCAGTCACACTTAATTCAGCAACAAAATGTAGGGGTTCAGGGTCTATCACCCCAAAATATGCTGTCCTGGCATATTGGTTACTTTGAGTGAGTTAAAGGCAAGTTAAAAATGGCAGATGCAAGAAGGGACCTCTGACCTTCCTTTGTCTTCTGGAAGGCAGGAGATAAAACTCCCATGAAAAGTGCCCTCCCTGTTGCTGGAGTGGGGAGTGGGGTGGGAGGG